TTCATAAAGGTTTTTCCATGCCATATGCTAGCGTGTCACTAAAGTGGCAAGCATGACTTTATTATTATGGTAGTCAGAAAAACTTCCCCGGTATAGTGAAATGAGCCATTTATCGGCTTTCAGGCTGTAGTTTATCTGATATTTGGTAGTTTTAACAAATATATTATGGTAGTTCAATACAACCAACGTCAAAGGTTATTTAAAGCAATAATGATTTGCTCATCTACCATATCTTATGGTTACATGTTTAGCCAATTTAGGGATAGGTAGCTTTAACCAAATGAAAGTGAAATGGTTATAACCATTCAATTGGTAGTTTGAATCAGGTCATTTTTACATAATTATTGTAGCGATTGCACAATAATGTACTTCATTGAATGTACTTTCAGGAATATCCCAAAAGAATACCCAAGGTGGAACTGCCGCAAGTAGCTTGGCAGCAGGACTAGTTGTAGGAATTATTCTCATAATCTTGTTCCTCGTCTTCCTATTCTTAATTTGGAAACGGTAAACATATACAATTTAACTATTTGATTAAAGCTCAGTCCAAAATAACTAATTCTGCTCTACTACACCATGAATATAATCTGGAATTGAACGACGTCACTGTCTAAATATTAAAGGCCTTCAGTTTCAGAGAGTTGAGTTCCCATGGGATACAAAGAACGATCGTTAATTCTTGCAGTAGTACCTTTAAATGCTTGATATGTGTGCATAGTAAGGGGAGAAATTTCTTAATGTTTAAGAAGCTAGGGCGACATTAAATTTCATTCCTATTGTAGCAAGCGTACCCACCACGGAAACTATGTGGCTGCAGAGCCATTACCCCTGGAAGTGGCCATGGTGGATGATTCATCTTCTTCAGCAACTGGCAACTCCAATTTCCTACAGGAAACAGCCCCAGAAATAGGTTGGTATATAGAAAGCCATCAAGTGGTCCAGAATTTATGAACTTTTGCAGGATGTAATCTATCGCAGGAGCGTGGAGGGTGCATCGCATTACGCTTTTTATTGCCTTTTTTATGCGTTAATATATGAGGCGACATGAAATAGAATGTTGTCCGGAACAGAAGCAGAGAACATTAATGGCTTCTTATCCTATGCTACCTTTGTGAGTACTTCCTTTGTTTCTTGCTTGGCCTATAATGAAAGCCATAAGGATGACATTGAATGATATGTGTAT